TGAGGATCCCCGGCGTGTGGGGTCCCATGCTAGAGGGCTCCCCGGCGTGTGGGGAGTCCGCATCGACGCAGCGCTCCCGGCGATGTGGACGTCTGGAGACACAGTCCTGGCTCCTGTTGCAGAGTGTGAAACTCCAGCTGTGGCTGCACAGGGGAAGCCCAGAAACTGTAAAGAGGTGATAATCACCCGCCTACGCGAAGGGAACATGGACAAGGTTCAGGTCAGGTGGACAGGGTCCTGTGCCTGAGACGCAAGTGGGAACCCTTCCCCAAGGGATCCATGATGTGAATGGCCCCAGGAAGGTGCTGCCCAGGATGGGAAGCAGACTAAGACCCGTCCTGCAGAGGCAAGTCCCCAGAGTCACTGCGTACTCACCGCTGGGTCCACGAGATGCAAGAAGCAGTGGGGGTGGGGGATGAGCTCTGCATGGCCGACCCTGGTGTGGATGCCACTGCTCGCACCAGCCTCTCCCCAGTGGCCTCGTTCCCATCAGGTCCAGAGCCTCTGTTTCTCCTCCAGGCTCCTGGGTGTTGCGTGCCTCGAGGCCTAAGGCCAGGCCCTGCATGGTTGTGGGTCCTGCCTGGGTGAGCCTGGGCCTGGCTGGAATCCAGGTGAGAAACTGGGCTTCCTGCCAGCGCGCGTGGCTCATGCCTGTAATCCCAGCACCTTTGGGAGGCCAGAAGCAGGTGGATCACGAGGTGCAGGAGATCGAGACCATCCTGGCTAACACGGTGAAACCCCCATCCTCTCTAAAAATACAAAAAACTGGCGGGCGGCGGTGGCCTCCAAGCCATTAATCCGCAGCACCTTGGGAGGGCGAGACGGCCGAATCACGAGCAGGAGATCGAGACCGATCCCTGGCTAACATAGTGGAGAACCCCGCTCTACTAAAAATACAAAAAACCTAGCCCCGGCGGGCGGTGGTGGGCGTCCTAGTAGTCCAACTACGCGGGAGGCTGAGGCCAGGAGATAATGGCGTGAACCCCGGGAGGCGGAGCTTCGCCAGTGAGCTGAGATCCGGTCCGACTGCACTCAGCCTGGGGCGGCAGAGCGAGCCGCGTCCTCAAAAAAAAAAAAAAAAAAAAAAAAAATACAAAAACTGCCTCTAGCATGGGACCCCCACACGCCGGGGAGCCTCTAGCATGGGACCCCCACATGCCGGGGAGCTGGCATCGGACCCCCACACGCCGGGGAGCCGGTGTCGGACCCCCACATGCTGGGGAGCCTCTAGCATGGGACCCCCACACACCGGGGAGCCTCTAGCATGGGACCCCCACACGCTGGGGAGCCTCTAGCATGGGACCCCCACACGCCGGGGAGCCGGCGTTGGACCCCCACACGCCGCGGAGCCTCTAGCATGGGACCCCCACACGCCGGGGAGCCGGCATTGGACCCCCACACGCTGGGAAGCCTCTAGCATGGGACCCCCCACGCCGGGGAGCCGGCGTTGGACCCCCACACGCTGGGGAGCCTCTAGCATGGCTTCCAGTGTAGTGGCTCACTGAGGGTCCTGCTGTCTGCACTCCCAACAGTGAAAACTGCCCGGGGCTGTCACAGAGGCTCCTTCCTGCTGCTGGGACTGGGGATCGGCACAACTCTTCTGGGGCACTATGGCCCTAAAAGACACATTTCCTTGACTGAGCAATTTGGAAATTAATCCAAAGAAAATCATAAGGAATGTGAAAAGTTTTACCTTCAAGAGTATTCACAGTTCGTAACAGTTGAAAAATTGTTATGACGTAAACGTCCAGCAATAGACATTGTTTTAAACGTATGAAACAATGGCATGCTCCAAAATCATGAACATGATGGAGAAACCACAGGACACAAGACAAGCTGCTGGGTGGAAAACACCGACAGGTGCTGTGGAAAATCACACAGGGCACGTTGTGGGGGCGCTGGGGGGCATGAGCAGGGTGCGCTCTCCAGGGAACTCGTGGGTTTTTAATTTTCTTTAATTTACTTGAATTTTCTGATTTTCCTACAGCAAATACCTGTGACTTATTTTGCCACACTAAGTGTTCTCAGAGCAGGCAGGAGGTATATAAGTGATGCTAAGAAGTCATAAATGAATGTTTACAAAGACAGCAATGAAACCCAGGAGGGACCCAGAGTGCAGGCCCGCCCGCTTGACTCACCTTCGCACGTGTAGGAGCCGTTGGCATTCTTACAGAACTGTGCGGCGCTGCAGGGGGGTGTCTCGGCCGCACACTCGTCCACGTCTGGAACAGAATGGCACAGCTGTGAGCGGCCCAGGATGGCCTGGCCAGGGAGCAGGAGAGGAATGATCATGGCCTGATACAGCCCACGGCCAGGACCGGCTGGGGAAGGGCAGGGAGGAGGGCAGCCCCTGGGGGGATCATCTCAAATGCCCTCCTCGGAGGTCCCATGTGGCAGGGGAGGGGATAAGGCGATGGCCAGGCCCTGTCCTTAGAGAGTCAGTGCCAACTGTGGCAGGGGCCCCATGAGGATGGTGACGCATCGCGTGAGGGTGAGACAGTGAGAGCCTCCACACCTCATGCCCCCACATCCCTCTCCCTTCTCCCCAGAGCTGTGGAACCTGCCAGGGGCTGAGCTCCAATTTTTTTTTTTTTTTTTTTGAGACAGAGTCTCGCTCTTTTGACCGGGCTGGAGTTCAGTGGTGCGACCTTGGCTCACTGCAAGCTCTGCCTCTCAGGTTCACACCATTCTCCTGCCCCAGCCTCCTGAGTAGCTGGGACTACAGGTGCCCGCCGCCACGCCCGGCTAAGTTTTTGTATTTTTAGTAGAGATGGGGTTTCACTGTGTTAGCCAGGAGTGTCTCGATCTCCTGACCTCGTGATCCACCTGCCTCAGCCTCCCAAAGTGCTGGGATTACAAGTGTGAGCCACCACACCCACTCGGCACCTGGACTGCGGGAAAGCCACAGCTAGTCCCAGACCCTCCCCATGAAGCCAGAGCCTTTGGCTTCTCCAGAGCTCAGAGGCGCTGCAGGGCTGGCTTTGTAAGTGCTGTGCCCGTAGCCAGGCTGGCGGGAAGAGACACAGCTGAAGCAGGTGATGCCCACCATGTGGGGGACAGGGTGGGGTGAGCATAGCACAATGCTGGAGACGTCCAGACCTGGCACCACTTAGAACCTGGAGGCCTGTGTTAGGAGGTGACGGCCCCCTCCTGGCTGAGCACTGCTAGGCACAGAGCTGGCTTGTCACACTGGTGTGAGTGGGGGGCCGTACCCCTCGGACAGCAGGAGCTCGTGGGCAGCCCCCTGCCACCCTGAGCTTGCCGTCTGCGGGAAAAGGCAGTTTCCATTGCACATGCCAGCAGCACGGCCCTGCCCTTCTGCCTGCTCCCAGACCTGGCTGTGCCACTGTGCCCTGCCCCTTCCCACATCCCCCGGGACCCACCAGCCTCCGCCACCATGGGTGCAGCCAGGACCACTCTGATATGCCCCATCCGTGTGTCTTCTGAAACCCGCACAGAGGGATACAGCTGGCCCCTGCCGGCGGCCTCCCACCCAGGAACACACTCGGGTGAGTTCCCAGGAGCTGTCGGCCGACTCGGGGCAGCTGGCACCACAGGTCCACAGCCCCAGGGCCACCTGACAGTAAGGACACTGTGGCCCCGATGCCTGCCCAGTCCAGAAGGTACGAAGGAAGTCCCATGATCCTTCCTGACCCGTGCATGGTGGGATCACAGGTGTGGGAGCCTAGGGGTCCACTCAACAATCCCCCTCCCATGACCCAGAATGAGCAGAGATGGGGAGGGCCGTGAACCAGGAGCAGCTGGCGGGACGGGGACGCAGAGGCTGGGCAGAAGCGGACCTTGGGGAGCCCCCACCCCCGGACCCCTCCTCACCCACGCAGGCGCCCTCCACCCCCGGGCCGCTCCTCACCCACGCAGGCGCCCTCCTCCACCCCCGGGCCGCTCCTCACCCACGCAGGTGCCCTCCTCCACCCCCGGACCCCTCCTCACCCACGCAGGCGCCCTCCCCCGGGCCGCTCCTCACCCACGCAGGCGCCCTCCTCCACCCCCGGGCCGCTCCTCACCCACGCAGGTGCCCTCCTCCACCCCCGGACCCCTCCTCACCCACGCAGGCGCCCTCCACCCCTGGGCCGCTCCTCACCCACGCAGGCGCCCTCCTCCACCCCCGGACCCCTTCTCACCCACGCAGGCGCCCTCCTCTACCCCCGGACCCCTTCTCACCCACGCAGGCGCCCTCCTCCACCCCCAGGCCCCTCCTCACCCACGCAGGTGCCCTCCTCCACCCCCGGACCCCTTCTCACCCACGCAGGCGCCCTCCTCCACCCCCGGGCCCCTCCTCACCCACGCAGGCGCCCTCGTCCACCCCCGGGCCCCTCCTCACCCGCGCAGGCGCCCTCCTCCACCCCCGGGCCGCTCCTCACCCGCGCAGGTGCCCTCCTCCACCCCCGGACCCCTCCTCACCCGCGCAGGCGCCCTCCTCCACCCCCGGGCCGCTCCTCACCCACGCAGGCGCCCTCCTCCACCCCCGGACCCCTCCTCACCCGCGCAGGCGCCCTCCTCCACCCCCGGACCCCTCCTCACCCGCGCAGGCGCCCTCGTCCACCCCCGGGCCGCTCCTCACCCGCGCAGGCGCCCTCGTCCACCCCCGGGCCGCTCCTCACCCGCGCAGGCGCCCTCGTCCACCCCCGGGCCGCTCCTCACCCGCGCAGGCGCCCTCGTCCAGCACCCAGCCCACTTCGCACTCGCCGCAGTCTCTGTTGGTCGGGCCCGAGCACGTCTTGCAGGACTCGTCGCAGGCTGGAAGGCAAAGGCGGGCCCGGGTACGAACCCCACTCTCAGGTGCCAGCTTGGGGACAGGGCTTGTTTAAAAGTGAGGAATTTAAGGGGAAAAAGCAACATGGGGTTTTCAGTGCCCATGAATTTAAAATTCTCAGCAAATCAGGACTCCAAGGAATTTTTAATAACCTGGAGAAGGCAGCTATCCGTACTCTGGAGCTGTAGCCTGGCTGGGTGTGCGTGTTCCGGATCCACACGTGCCCCATGCCATGCCAACATCCAAGAGACAGACGGCAAGGGGTGTAAGAACCAGAGAGGCGGGTCCTGACTGGCGATCCACAGGTCTGTCTGCCCAGAATAGCCTAGGGGGCTACCGGCCAACCATGCACTCATGTCCAGGACGTCAACACACCCAGAGTTTTCCTACATATCAGTGGCAACCAGGGAGAAAACGTCCTTTGGAAAGATGCCACTCATAATGGCCTGCAGGGATTGGACAGGTGCTGCTCTCCGGGCCGGTGCACGGCTCACATGGTACCTCCAGGACCTGTGCACTGCGTGGCCCATCACAACTCAAGGTCGGGGCAGACCTCGAACTAGAGAGGAAGGTGAGTAGCTTCTCCCTTCTGGGGGCTGTTATGGGACAGGAAGCGCCCCTAACAACCTCTGCCTCTATCTTCTGACGTTTTAATTCATCCCTCTGGGCCCCCGAAGCTTCCCTGGACATCCAGGGTTAAGATATCAGCAGGCCCCTGTTCCCATCTAGGCAGGCAGCTCCAGCGGCTGTTGTCATCCTGCCTCACCCCAGGGCCGGCCCAGGCGTAGCCCGTACCTGTGCAGACGCTGTGGGTCTCGTTCCGGAGCGAGCTGAAGTAGCCGTCCATGCAGTCAGTGCACAGTGGGCCCTGGTACCCCACGTGGCACCGGCAGGACCCGTCACCCTGTCTGCTGCCGTCTCCGCTGCAGTGGCCATTCCCGCTGCAGGGCCTCTGGGACCCACCCTGGCACGCTTTGGGGGACACAAAACCATGCTCAGAGCACACCTGGTGGTGACTGGTGGGGTGTTCTCACACAGACAGAACACACTGCACCCAAACCCTGTACGATTCTGAGGACGTACATGAGCCTGCAGGCTTGGAGTGGGTGTTGGGGGAAACTGATTTCCTGGGGTCTGCAGGGCTGGCGGTGGATGGCCTGAGTGGAGCAAGCCACAGGCTCCTGGACTTCACTACGGCCACGTGCTGCATGATGACGTTTAGGTCAACAAGGGACCCTGCATGGCACAGCTGTCCCCTAAGATGATAATAAAGCTGAGCAGCTCCTATTACCTAGTGACATCACGATATGCCTTATTACCTGTTCTATGTTTAGATGTATTCAGGTGACACATTCTTACCACATGTCGCAATGGCCCACAGTACTCAGGACCCTCACGTGCCACGCGGGTGTACGGCCTGGGAGCAGCAGGCCCTGCCAGGCAGCCTAGGTGCGGAGCGGCTGCACCACCTAGGCGTGTGGAGTGCACTCTGCCATGTTGGCACCATGACAAAGTCGCCTAATGATGCATTTCTCAGAACATGCCTGGTCGTTACGCATGACTGCACTTTGTGTGGCTTTGGGCAGCCTCAGCTGAAACATGGTGATGGGGACACCGATGCATCAGGGGCGGAGACTGCAGGGAGAGTGGGAACATCAGCTGCAGCCTCCAGTGTTCGCCAGGGATAGACGCAGAGGCTAGCAGGAGGCTGACGGGGGGCAGGTCGGGGGTCTAAACCTGAAACTTCTGCTACCTGATCCTGCTTGACCACGTGATTGCCTTTTATAAACGTTAAACTGTGGCTTCAGTTTCTGCACGCTTCTTCACAGAAGAGCCCTGTCCTGCAGCACCCATTAAGGCTCAAGGCCATGCACCCAGCCTGATAGACACCTACTGCCCTGGGCTCTCTGCAATGGCAGCCATAGAAGCCGTGGTGTGGTCCCCTCTGTGCACACAGGGAGAAGCCCCTGGACAGGTCAGTCAGGACAGACTCTCAGGTGAGTGGACTCAGCTGTGAACAACCTGAGTCAGTGAACCCCTGAGTTAACAGCACAGCTGGGATGACATGCTCAGAGTTTTACACTAAAGCGTGAGGTGAGTGGTGAGGCTGCAGCGGGAGGGTGCGAAGTGCTCCAAGTTGGGTTGGGGATGGGGGAGGCAGCCGTCCGGCAGGGTCCCAGACCCTACAGAAAGCTGATGTCCCCCAGGTCCCCTCTGTGCTTTCATCCCCCAAGAATTGTGAGAGGAAGAGGGGAAGTGACGTAGAAGATGGGATTTCCCTAAGCAGAAACGCACCGAGACAGTCAGGACCGTAGGTTCCTGGAGAGCAGCACAGTTTCAGCGTCTTCACACAAAACCACTCGAATAAGTCAGGATACTCGTTCTTCCTGAGGATGGAGGAAAACATTCACTGAATCCCACCAGACACGGCTCTTTAAAACAAACATGCAGCTGAACACAACATAGGCTCTAGAGTATTGCAAGATCCAGGAAACAAGAGTCTAGGTGTGGACAGAATCTTCTCGTTAATTTCCTGGTTTTGATCACCGACTCTGGTGATAAAAAACAGTAATGCAGGGGTAAGGTGGGTGCGAGGCAGGTGGGAGCTCCATACTGTTCCCGTATCTTTCTAAGTCTGAGGTTATTTCAAATTCTAAGTTGAAAAATAAAAAGTATCTTCTAAGAGGTTTTAAGGCACTCACAGCTGCAGCCACCAGGCCTCCAGGTGTTCCTCCTGTGCCTCCAGCATCTGGTTGCATTCGAAGTCGCTGCTCTCGCACAGCCCCTCCAGAATCTCCAGCAGGCGAATCTCGCTGAAACACAGGCCCACGCGGGCCCACGGTCAGCGCCACAAGCCAGTGAAGAAAAATCCGAACCAACACACCAGCCCGGGTGCAGGGGAGGGGGCTGGGATTCCAGGCAGAGAGAGTAAGGGGACCCCACTGTCAGGGGGCCAGGAGCGGTTCACACAAGTGGGGCTGGTGTTCCAGTTTACATTTTAAAAAGCCACTGTCTGTTGAGGGGGTAGGGACCAGAGCAGAAACTGGAAGGCCAGAGAGGATCCAGCCATTAGTCCTCAGGCAGAAGCCAAGGCAACTCAGACAGGTGACTGGTGCCTCGGGGGCTGTTCTGTCTCCCTGTTATTAACACAGGCACCAAAGGTAGGACACGGCTTCCCAGGACAGGGTCAGGCCAAGACCCACAGGGCTGCTCCAGAGCGCCCACCTGGACTCATACTTGGACAGCGTCTTTTCCTCCCAAGCCGTGTTCCCGCCGCCAAAGTTCTTCTTTGCGGTGTCCACCAACCCCTGCGAGGAGACAGTGCCCATAGGGCTTGGTACCACCTGACTCCCCGCCCAGGGTGAGGGCGACCCCAGGTCGAGGGTGAGGGGACCCCAGGCCCACGGTGGGGTCAACCCTGGGTCCACGGCGGGGGTGGATCCTGGGTCGAGGGTGAGGGGGACTCCAGGACTACGGAGTGGCGACTCTGGATCGACGGTGGGGGGACCCCAGGCCCACGGTGGGGCCGACCCTGGATCCAGGGTGAGGGGGGCCCTAGGTCTAGGGTGAGGGGGACTTCGAATCCAGGGTGAGGGCGACCCTGGCTCCAGGGTGAGGGGGACCCCGGGCCCAAGGTGGGGCAACCCCGGATCCTGGGTGAGGTGGACCCCGGGCCCACGGTGGACGACCCCGCCCGGCCCCTGCCCACCTGGTTAAACTTGTCCACCAGCCCCCGGCACCGCTGGCAGGGCGTCGGCTTCTTGGCGGCCTCCGGCGCGGGCAGCAGCAGCAGCAGAAGCGACAAGAGCCCCAGCGCGGCCCGGCGCGGCAGGCGCATGGCGGGTAGCACTGCGGGCAGACGCAGCCGGAGCTCCAGGTCCTGCGGCCGCGCGGCTCCGGCCTCTCGGCCGCCCACCCGCTCCCAGTCGCGCCGGCCGGTCCCCCTGGCTACTTGACGGTGCCGGCGAGGCCCCGCCCCGCTCGCCAGCCCCGAGCCGCTATTGGTCGATGGGACCCGCCCCGGCCTGATGTGGACCAATCCGAGCTCGCCACGAGAGGCGACCAATGGGAAGGCCCCGGGTCAGCGTCCGCGGGGAGGCCGGGGGCGGGGCGTGCAGGTCCAACCCCGCCTCCCGCGCCCCGCCCCTTGCGCGCAGCCCGCGGCGGCCATGTTTGCTCAGGGCACAGAGGGTCCTCGCGGCCGCAGCGGCCGGGGTTGCGGTGGCCACTTTAGATTCGGGCAAAGGCTTCGCTCTGTTCTGTTTCCGCCGTCCCGCTTCCTGCCGAGGCCGGCCTAGGCAGCCGCGTTCCGAAGGACGCCGCCGGGAGCTGCGGAGGTCAGTGCGCGCTGCCGCGACCGGGGCCCTCAGGCGGGCGCGCGGCGAGACCAGGGAGGAGGCGGGCGGGGGCGCGACCCGAGCTGGCGCTGGCGTTGGATTCTTGAGACCTCACCGCGTATGTCCACGCGTCACAGCCCGGTGCTCCTTACCTGGGGCTGCACCCCTCACTTGGGGCCGGGCTCCTCACCTGGGGCTGGACCTGTTACCTGGGGGCCGGGCCTCTCACCTGGGGCTGGACCTGTCACCCGGGGGCTGGACCCCTCACCTGAGGCCGGGCTCCTCACCTGGGGCTGGACCTGTCACCTGGGGGCTGGACCCCTCACCTGGGGCTGGGCTCCCCACCTGGGGCCGGACCTCTCACCTGGGGCTGGACCCCTCACCTGGGGCTGGCCTCCCCACCCACACCGGGCCGGACTCTCACCTGGGCTGGACCTCTCAACCCCAGGGCCGGACTTCTCACCCAGAGGCTGGACCTCTCACCTGGGGCTGGACCTGCCTCCCACCTGGGGCGTTCCGAGCTCCCAACCTTGGGGCCCGGACCTCTCACCGGAGGCTGACCTCTCACCTGGGGGCCTTGGACCTCCTACATCCTGGGGTCGACGCTCCCCACCTGGGGGCCGGACCTCTCACACGGAGGCTGACCTCTCACTCTGGGCTGGACCCCTCAACCTGGGGCTGGACCCTTCTTCACACCTTGGGGCTGGGCTCCCCAACCTGGGGGCCGGACCTCTCACCTGGGCTGGACTCCACCCAGTGGGGCCGGACTTTCTCACCCAGAGGCTGGACTCTCTTCCACGCTGGGGCTGGACCTCCTTCACTGGGGTCGAGCCTCCCCACCTGGGCCGGACTCTCACCCGGAAGGCTGGACCATCTCACCTGGGGCCTGGACCTCCTCAACCTGGGGTCGACTCCCCACTCTGGGGCCCCGGAACTCTCACCCGAGGTTTGCGCTGGAACCTCTCACTGGGTGACCCCCTCACCTGGGGGCTGACCTCCACCTGGGCTGGGGCCTCCCCACCTGGGGGCGGACCTCTCACGCCGGAGGCTGGACCTCTCACCTGGGGCTGGACCCTTCACCTGGGGCTGGGCTCCCACCTGGGGCCGGACCTCTCACCTGGGGGCCGGACCATCTCACCCAGAAAAGGTCTGGAACCCTCTCACCTGGGGGCTGGTGGACCCCTCACCCTGGGGGTCGGGCTCCCACCTGGGGCTGGGACCTCTCACCCGGGGGTCGGACCTCTCACCTGGGGGCCTGGAACTCCTCCCACTGGGGGATGGGTTTTTTCCACCTGGGGGGCTGGACCTTTCCACTGGGAGCTGGTCCACTCAGTGGGTCTTTGGGGGCTGGGGTCTGCATTTCTACAAGCGCTTGAAGGTGATGAACACATCGCTAATGTTCAGGAACCCCTGGTTTAAATTAAGGGGAAATGTGCAGTTGTCTGGATTTCACAGAACTCCTGTCCTGTGAAGGAAGGAGTGCAGATAACATTGGCTTTTCTGGTCTTTTGAATGGGCCAGCAGCTGTGATTTGCAATCAAGATCATTTTGTGTTTCCTGCTGAAGAGGGCTAATGATTATTATTAGTAAATAGTAACATCTGGGCGGGCGCAGTGGCTCATGCCTGTAATCCAGCAATTTGGAGGCTAAGGTGGCCGATCCACCTGAGTAGAACGCGTTCGAGACCAGCCTGGCCAATGTGGTGAAAAACCCGTCCCTCTATAAAAAAATAACAAAAATAGCCGGGCGTGTGGCACGTGCCTGTAATCCCAGCTACTCTGGAGGCTGGGAGCCAGGAAGAATCACTTGAAGGCCAGAAAGTGGGGTTGCATTGAACAAGAATCATGACACTGGCACTCCAGCCCTGGGCAACAAGAGTGGAAACTCCGTCTTCAAATTAAAAAAAAAAAAAAAAAGGTAACATCTGATTTCACCAATTTCTTTTCTTTCTTTCTTTTTTTTTTTTTTTTTTTTTTTTTTTTTTGAGAACTGAGCCCAACTCTTGCCACCCCAGGCTGGAGTGCCAGTGGTGGGCGATCTCGGCTCACTTGCCAACCTCTGCCATCCCAGGTTCCAGTGATTCTCCCTGCCTCAGCCTTCCTAAGTAGCCTGGATTTTAACAGGCCACCCACCACCAGGCCTGGCTAAATTTTTGTATTTTAGTAGAGACAGGGTTTCACCATGTGGGCCAGGCCTGGTCTCAAACTCCCTGACCTCAAAGCCATCCGCCTGGCCTCCAGCACTCCCAAAGTGCTAGATTACAGGTGTGAGCCAACATCGCCTGGGCCTGATTCTGATCACTTTCAGTAGAAGCTTAAAAATCGTGGATTGATGGGGCAAGAGAGCCCATTGCAAGGTCATTCCTAATCTGACATGCCATTTGTTCTGTAAACCACCAATTTAAAGTGTCATAGCCAGCTGGGCGCGTGGCTCACACCTGTAATCCCAGCACTTGGGAGGCCAAAGGTGGCGGATTCCACTAGGTCAGGGAGAATTCCGTGACCATCCTGTCCTAACACGGTGAAACCCCTGTCTCTACTAAAAAAATACAAAAAAATTACCAGCATGGTAAAGTGGGCGCCTGTAAGTCCCAGCTTACTCAGGAGCTGAGGCAGAAGAATGGTGTGAAACCCGGGAAAGCGGAGCTGCAGTGAGCTGAAATCGCGCCCCTGCACTCCAAAACCGCTGGGGCGATAGAGCGAGACTCCGTCTCACAAAAAGTAGAAAAATAAATAAAAAATAAAATGTCATGGCCTGGGCCTATTTTAACGCTGTTAGGTTGCTCCACGAGGCACCCTGTCACTTAGATTAGCCACCAGCTGCTGACCAGCTGCCGAGCAGAGTGGGACTAGTGCAAGGACAGCGTCACTCAACCCATCAGCCCCGTGGGGGGTTGGTCCATGTTTTTCCACGCTTGCCAGCTGTCGACTTGGTCTTTCCATGCTTCTGGCAGAAGAATCTGGACTCACCTTGGTCCTTCTCATGGCCTTCGAAAAGTTGAAATCAAAGCACGAACAATATTTTTTGTTGGGAGATGGAGTCCTCACTCAGCTCGCCAGGCTGGAGTCAGTGGCTGCAATCTCCGCTCACTACAACCTCTGGCCTCCCAGGTTCAAAAGCCAATACTCCTGCCTCAGACCCTCCTGGAAGTAGCTGGGACCACAAGGCGGCCGCCAC